TTGTCAAAAATATCAGCTGGATTTGTTTGCAAAGTATGCGTTTGGTCAGGGATCGGTATGTGTAGATGTGGATGTTAAATTCATTCTGACCGACGCATATACTGTGGTTCTTACCTGCCCCTTGCCAGACCTAATCCACAAGGAACGCCGGACGGCTTTCCGGTTTTTTGGTATGATTGCTATTTCCGAGAAAAAAGACACGCAGGTGTTTGAGGAAGTCGCCTTATGGCTCCACTCACAAATGGTCAAGCGGGAAATCAAGATCATCCACGAGGACGAGCGTTTAAATCTCAAAATTCAAACTGATGACGAGGTTGCGCTTTATACGCCTTTTATCAAAGTTTTCTCTGTAAGTTGCATTTTTTCAGTCTAGAAAATATCAAAAAACTTCTACAGATAAACTCGTGACTTCTCATTATTGAGTTTACGTAAATGATAAGTTAGTTTTGTTGGCTGGGATACATTCAGTATTTAGGCTGAAATCATGTGGTTAGCCTTCTGTATAGTAGTTATTGCCGGCAATTATATCTCCTGGTGCAAAACAAATTACGCATGTGTGACTGCTAAGTTTGAATTTTAATAACACTTAACGTTTTATAAATCTTCTCTATACTTTTATAAACTGAGCTTGGTTTCTAGGTTGAGTTTATATTGACCTCAGATAGCAAAATGCTCAGGCTAATCTGCGCTTTTGCAGGCGGTACACGTTTTATGCAGCAAACATCTGTCTAGTTCGTTTGAACGAAACATGCAGAAAATTTGAGCTGCAAAAGATTTGGTGCAATCGTGGCTTGTGAGAATTTTTGGTGATCCAGACAGAGATTCTGGCACTTACGCATCGAGAACCGTAGACGAAAAATCCCTTGATGATATGTTCCGTCATGCACGTGACTTCAAAAGGGCAAACGAAAACGCTAAAGTTTTAGATTGGCTCCTAAAATCGAAAAATGGTATCCAACAGACCTTTGAAGCAGTCCCCGTACGTATTTGACCTTTTCTCTGAATTTTTGTTGCGTCCAGTTTTTGCTTTCTTAATAACTAAAATATCGCATCTCGGTTTTTCATACGATTTTTCCCCTAGGAAATATGTGTGCAGGTCATCCCAGGTTTCGTAAACATTGATGGAAGTGCGCTTCTGTATGTCTGCATGTTTAGCCATAAGAGTGCACAGACTGGTTTTCTGACTGATATCCTCCAGCCCATTCAACTTGGACTGCACTGCGGATTGAAACTGTTGAAGAACGCCTAATAGTTTCTCCATTTTTTTCCGCATAAGGCGGTCGTGTTCAATCAAATTGTGATGAAAATCACTAATTGCTTCGTGCACAGCAGCCTTAATAAACAAAAACTGTTAATTTAGGTATAATTTTTATAAATATTTAAACATATATATTATGACAATTGCGCCTCAGCTTGCCATTTTTAATCGGTTGTTGTCCGAAAGGCCCTCCAAATACGCGATTGGGTGCGAGTAGTTAGTAAAATCAGAAGGTGGTTGTACAGCATTTCGAACTTCTTCGTCGACATAACGAAGATATACGTTACCTTGAGCGTGCTGCTTGTGGTTGTCGGCTTTGTTCTCGAGAACTAATTAGTTGATCTCTTGCAGAGCAAAGGATAACAGCCGTCTGGCTAGCCAGAGACTTCGATGCCGGGCGATCCATCAGTAATGCGACGGTTCACGCTGCGCTGAGAGATGTCAACGATCTGTTGGTTGATAGTCAAACAGCAATGACAAACGCTTTCGGAGAATTTAATTTTTCTATACCGGTGGAGACGATCCACACCATAACCTTCGAGATGGCCGGCTTCTCACCAATTGTCCTAGCAAACTTTCATCGTAATCTCCGACTGAACAGCACAGTCACAATGGAACCCTTGTTGTGGATCAGCGAAACATGGGCCGGACCAGCCACAGTCAACGGACGGCTTTTCTTTATGAGTCCTGGCAACTATAACATAGCTATACCCGCCCCTTCCGTAAATGTTACCTTTCGTTACGGTCTAAACAATGACTCCGGGCCTTTTCTCGCGACAACCACAACGATGGAAAATGGCTACTGGGTCCAAAGCCTACCGTCTGGATATTACACGGCAACAGCTTGCGCAACCGGATACATACCGAAGGTTTTCACGGTTGTCGTATACACGCTCGTCGGCCCCGCCCCTATGCATTCACTGATGCCTGACGTGTCTAACGATGACATTCGGATAATTCTCTTTAATTCGAGATATGCCTATAAGGAGCTAGTAGTTGAAGGGCCACTGCAGGACACCCAATACCGCACACGTGTTGAGTGTCTGGGAATGAGATCGAGCGAGGATAAGCTGATAAAGAACGACTACGCTGGAACTTTTGCCGACAGTACCGTCATCACGAAGCAGCTGCCCGGCACGTACCGTATCAGCGTCTACGATTGGCATAGTCGCAAGGGACAACAGATCTCGTTGTTAACCAGTTCCGATTCTGTTGTCGAACTGTACCGCGGTAAGAGTCTGTGGGCAAGATTTTATGTCCCAAATCGCGTTGGCAACACCTGGACCGTGGCGGAGATTAACGGAGCGAATCTAACGGCCATCAACGAAATTACGACAGAATACCACTATACTTAAACGAACGCCGATTGTTCCAGATTTAACATTCTTTCAATAAAGTACACTTTACTTGATGCTTAATAACTTTAACTCTGCAATGGCTATTTTCTGGGTTGATTTTGTGCTTTTGTAATTCTTTAATCAAAATTATTTAAAACTTTTCTCTGTGCACAGACTTAACTTAACAGGAGTACAGGAGGAGTATCCACCCAAGTGCACCACTCCCGCATGAAAAACCACCATAGTGAGTCCGTAAACAGTACTGTGTGAGTGTGTGTAACTTACGTTATGATTGTATAGTATGCCGTAAAGTCTGCGACAAAAGAGTCCCCGTTTTAAATAATTTGCACTTTGCGTTTGGGAAGACTTGGGCAGCTGTACGGTATTGCAGAAAACTACTAACAACCGGTAGGAAAACTCCGGTCCAGACGCACTCTTTATTGATGTATGTGCAAAAGAAGGGGAAAACGAACTAACAAGCAGTGTGTACATTAGGAGTGGAATATAACTCACGGAAGCGAAATCGACCAACCGAATTCCACCAACAGACTAAGAATGCAAATTCTCGATCACATTCTCGGAGAAATAAACTGTATTGAATCGTGTGTGAACAATGAGGACATCGGCTCCGATTTTTAAGCGCAATAAACCTGCACGAACTGATAACATGCCTATCAGAATCCTCCTTCGTAATTTTTTCGGAAATCCGTAGCGGTAATTAAAATTTCCATCTTTTTCAAGAAAAACCAATAGTTGTATTTTTTCCCAGAATTGTTCCGGAAATCCACATCAGTTTTTCTAATTAATTATCGTGATAGTTTTCCGAAAACATTTTCTGGCATAAAGGATGAGAATTTAGAATGCTAGACGTCTAGAATGAAAGATACCGCCTGACGCCTAACGACCGCCTAACGTCCGCACGCCATAGCTCGAGGTATACAATGAAGCTGATAGTGCGGAAAACGGAGGAGTCCGGCTTGAAATGACAGTGACACAGCCAACTAACAACCAAAATCCTTTAGATCAAGTTACGGTGAGACCCATGCATACAGTTTCTTCAGCAGTGGTTGACAGTGATTTGTTAGATTATTTGCTGAATCGGCTTAACGTCTACAACCCTCAGTAATAACCTGCACGAGGTTGTAGACATACGTTCAAGAACAGTAGTCGCAAAAAGCGACAGCCCCTTCCAACAATTCTTCGCAGTATCACAATAGAAAAAACGTATGCACATTCAGTATGCACCACAAAATACTGTTCTGTGGTGGTGGATGATATTTTTTATATACTCGCACAAATTTCAGTCACCAATCTAGCGTAAGTCTCGCACACACCAAGGAAAAAATACGTACTTCTTTTTGAAATATTAAAAAAATCTGCGTTGCGGCTCATTCTGAACTATCTTCGGAAATTCATTTTACAAACTATTTTATTGTTAGCGAATCGTTTTGTTCCGCAGCTGTTTTTTATCGCTAAAAAGCGTTCCAAACGCATTGAGAAGTGGAAATACTGTAAACATTGACTATCTGACATGATTTCCCGCAAAGCCCGCCACATAGTCCAAAAATTCTCGGGATGCCACCATACACATCTTGGAGGCACCGGTACGGAAGGCTACACCCGTTGATTCCGATGTGCCGGGGTCCACATGGGACACTGTCAAATGTCCCCGGGTACACTCCACTTTGATTGGCTCGTAAAACAACGTTCGCTTCTGTCGGGTTTCGGCTTTCGCCACAATCCAAGAATGCAGATCGTAGAGTATCACGCGGCAATTGAGGGTGTTGTCGCAACCAAACACGGTCGTCATGGCGCCCTCCAGATCCAAATCAGGCGTCGGGAGATTCACTCGTCTGAGACGGCAGGTAATTTTCAACGGATTCAGAAGATAAAACGGAAGTTGAACAGGAGCGGCAGTGACGGGAGGCGGAAAGGTCGCAGTCTTACGGGGAAAGGCAGTTACGGGCAGTTGAGTAAGGGTCGTATTCCAAGTTTCTGCTGGTGGAGGGGAGGTCGAATCCCCGTTGCATGCCGAAGTCGTTTACTTATTGTCGCATTCTCGCCCGTACGCCGGATTCAGTCCCGTCACCGAGGGAACAAAGCTGGATGGGCAGTTGACACGGTCCACGGCTCCGAATGTATGACAAATATTATAAAACTTATCCACCTAATCCGATAACGCAGAACAGTGGGCATTGTTTGCCGAGGCAGTATTTAGAACGAATATAACACACAATCTACAGCGTTCCACAGGAGCAATGTACTTTATGGCAATACGGATTTGTACCTTCAAGGATAACGAAATCGATAAGAGCATTATGGGCACTGTTAGCAGACGATAAGCTGCGATAGTATTCTTGTGCTATGGACGACTTTCTCGTGTACGATATCAGCGCTTGCACCACCGTTGCAGGTTTGGAGAGTGCGGTGTGGTTGCCGGTCAAGTGTTTTAGACGGGACTGTGGCGATACAATCCTGTCGCAGATTTTGGAAATAGTCTCTAGAGGGAAGGTTTAGGGTTCTAAATAACATAAAGCAAACTGCAGGTAACAAATGATAATTAATCATAAGTATTTTACTAAGATGAATCGACGTCTTTGCAGCACCTGATGCTGAATAAATGCTAAGAAAACCCCCGGTTTAGGCAAAAGGAATCCAGGGTAGCGTCGAAGTAGCTCTATCCCCGCGGCATCCTGGTGATAGAGGAATAGCGGATTGTGTCCGGTCTGCCGTCGAAGTACGTGGGACAATATAGTGTCAAACTGCCATTGCATTTGTTCTCCAAGCTACAAGTTATAGCTAAAATACGAGGGTTGTTAGTTATGTTCTGTCGTAATAGTTTTATCTATTTTTGGATTCATGCAATTATTATATTATTTTCATATTACTATTACTAAACTCCTAATGCATCGTTTTCATCTGTTGCCAGATTTGTAAATATGATACAAAACGTTATAAATTTTTTTGAACGAAGGCACCTTGGAAATTTCGTTTAATTTTCTTATTTCTTGTTATTTCACTTCTCTTCAACGAATCTTTCCGATTCGGAAAATTTTGAACCTGTGCAGGATCAAGCTTATCGAATATTTAGGTTACATGAATATCCGAACTAGCGATTAAGCAAAATAATTTTTTTTAATATTTAGAGGCATTGGTTTGGGTCCGTTGTGGTGCCAATTACACCAGTCGACCAACTCCCGCCTCCATTTTTTCGCGTTTTCTCAAAGAAAGTTGTCAAGGTATTTGCAGATTACTGTAAACAGTTGATAGTTATTTCCGACAGAAAAGGCTTCTGCAAATAATTTCATTGCTGCGAGGCGCACCAACATAAACGTTTCTTCGAATGCTTTTTGGCTCTTGGTCTCGCACTCCATTGACAAAACCCTGTTCTGTTCTACTGCTTCCACCAAGTATGGCGCCAAGCAAATCAGGATCTGTCGTGAGTGTAGTCTTAGGACTGATGGCTAAAGGAAAGAAGTTTGGCTTTGCTACGGAGCATTAACTGCAAAAGCACCAGTAACCACTAGTCAGCGCAAGTGGTGCCCGACGGTACTCCGCCTTGCTGAAAATCAGATCCACGCGCAATACAGAATCTGTTACTGGGGATCTGGTCTATGATTCCCTGTCCATCCATCGGACAAACACATTTGGGGATCGGTGTATGCCAAGCGCAACAGGATGGCTTGCTATTTTAGGTTCCTCAACAAACAGACCGTTCCGATCTGCTCTCGCCATCCCTTGTTAAAATTCCAGAATAAAAACGACAAGACAAGCGCTCAGTAGTTCACGCGCAGAAGAACATTTAATCCCCAACATAACAAGCACTTCAGATAGTCAATGGGTTGCATCCCAGTTTTTTTAAAAAATTGTAATGTGAAATAGCGCAAGCCCACGTTCGGGTGTTAATGCGCCATTTTTAATTTGCGAATTAAATTTGGTGCGAGTGAGTCGTTCTCTGACTCCCGCTGAGTGCCACCGAGAGCACCCACTGACTCGACCATTAGCCTACTATTACAGTTATGATATGCTCTACTTTTTAATAATAATTTCATATTTTAAGTTTCATAACTAATATACGCACGACAGAACATAACTAACAACCCTCGTATATTGTGAAAACTACTAAATGAGCAAAGTCGAGTTACCAACCTGTAATAAATTATCATTCTAGTAACTAATCCCTTTCTTGCTTACATTGATACTGGGCCTAGGAACTCTTGACAAAGTAGAGGAATCCCAGTCCAACGATGTAAAGAAGGAACATTCTATGATCCATTCCTGCTGTACAAGTCTAAAATAACTGTCACTGTTCTTCAGCTAGACATCAACCAGAATGTTGAAAAGCGGAGAATGGTTATCGCTTTATATGCTTGAGCACCTTCTATTATCCACATAGTCACATGCGGTCAAAAAAAGACTGCCTTTCACTATAGCTTTCAGTGCAGACCATTTACGCTGGATAACTTATCGGATTTGTGTCCGTGCTTTAAGAGGCTTTACTATACAGGCACGAATAACTTCATCAACTTTTTACCGTTTGCGCCGAGCGCAGCGAGTTGTTGCTGGTAATTCTTCGTCAAAACCTGAAGCTGTGTGACTCTGTTACTCTGCGGGCGACACAATCACGCAGAAAGGGTCTGAGTTGTGAGCCACTCCTCGAATACAAAATGCTAAACCATCTTCGGCTGATTCCTCGGCAAGTTAACTGCTAGCAGCGAAAGCGTTGGCTGAAAACAGCACGATGATAGCTGTCATCGTGCTGTTTTATAAGAATTCCGCCAGTTCGCACCCGGATATTTGGGAGCGTGATATTTCGCCGCAGGACATTTTAACGCTGGCATACTTCGCTTAGGGACAAAATGAGCACTGAGACATTTCGGAACTGCGACGTCTGGTCGCGGGCTTCGCCGCAAAAACATTCGACACGCTTAATTTTCGCAGGTTTCCCGGGTTTCTGTAGAGGTTTTCTTAGGTCTTTTAGGTTTCTTAGGTTGTTCTAAATTATTTTCAGGTTATTCGTAGGCTGTTCTTAAGTTCCTTAGGTTATTCTTAGGCTATTTGGGTTTCTTAGGTTATTCTTAGGTTATGCTCAGGTTATTTAGGTTTCTTATGTTATTCTTAGGTTTCATAGGCTTTTCTTATGGTTCTTAGCCTTTCATGTATTTTTTTCTTAGGAATTACTACCAGTTTCAGTAAGACTGATAAAAACTTCATTTTGTAAAATGGACTTTTTATCGAATCAGCCCTGGGCGAAATGTCTCGGCGTCGAAACGGCCGGACGACGAATTGTCTCACGTCGTAACGTCCTGCGGAGTGAATGTCCCACGACGAAGCGTCGCAAGGCGAGATGACCTTGCGGTGAAATGTCTGCGACTAAAAGTCTGCGACGAGTTGTCGGCGGCGAAATGTCGCGGTGCGATAAGGATAAGAAGTATGGCTACCGGCTTCCCGGTTCATAATATCACAAACCACTGGCTCTCTTCTATCAGGTCATTCCTATTCCTGTGATTTTCCGGGTTTTTGACAAGTATGAACGTAACGCTGAATGACATAAAAATGGTCATTTTGCCGAGTTAAGAAAGAAATATCGCTTTTGTATTTTAATTTATACGCGTGTTATCGATAAGAATGCCATAAATAGTATTTGCTGTTGTTAATGAATAAGTGACACAAATACGTTTCTTGATAATCGCGAAGCGCTAAAATTAAATTCTCTTTGATAATGTCACAGATGGCACATGGCAGCCCAACGAACAGTGTCTTTATTGGCAAACACAAATACTTGTGTTTACCGCTCTGTAAAGCGGTGCAACATAAATATATTTTTTCCTGGGATGCCAGCCAAATGTTCCAGTGCGATAATTTAAAGTAGCGAATTAATTAACAGAGGAAACTGCGGCAATTGAGAAAATGCTAAAACCTTGGTGTAATATTGGGTAACGCATCTGTTATCGGTAACGCATTTCGTGAAGACTATACCAACGTTATTTGCTAGAGGATATGACGCTTCTTAATGCACGGTCGGCGGAAGTTGGCTAATATGTACATGCATTATTATTATGCGGCGTATATGCGCTCAGTATTACCGTTATCATTTATTGTGTTGGGGATCGGATGTACCGTACGATTAATACACTTTTTTTACCGTTCTGGTTCGTTATGGGGTTTGCGATCATAATATGAAGTTGACGGAGATACTGTATGCATTATGCCTTATTTGCACTTGAAGAAGTACAAACAGACCACAAACGGAACAAAACACAAACCAACTTATTCTACAACCTTTCTACTACAAAATTGAGATGCACAAAGTCCCCTTAATCATGAAAAATTTCTGCTCAGCTTTTTAATATTTAAAAAAAACTTTGATCTTAAGGTTTTTATCAGCAAATGTCGTAGAACTTGCTTCGTTATAGACACGATCACTGATTGCCAAATTACAATTAGATCGACGATTATCTGTTTGTCAAAGAAACAAGCATAGGTAAGAAGAATTTATGCACTGAAATAAATGTTGTAAATTGCTTCGTTTTTTTCCTCTGCTACAGCGAAAGGCACGCCAAAGCCGCATTTTTAAATATGGCTATGATTTCACACTTCTGTTTGATACATCCCGCCCCTGCCCCTGTTTACAAGTGTACGACCAAACGCCTGAATACCTTATCAGCTAACGCACACATAGTGCTACGTGCTAACATACGGACTTTATTGACTTACGGTAAACGAGTCTTATTTTCACGATTTTAATTCTGTGCATCTCCAGCAGCGCCATCAAATCTAATCCTTATGGCCAACGTTTTCTAGGATTTATTTTACGTCGAAGTTGATAAGGTTTTTGTTATCGTATTTGCTGACCCTTCGCAGTCCCTCTTACTGCATTTATGACTGGTATTGTTGTATGTTCGAAGATCTAGAGCGGTTGTAACCATAACCGTAACCGTAACTATAAAAAAGCTGTAATTAAGTAATCAATCGCCTTTTCTACATGTTTGCATTTCGAGAACTCGCTTTAATGTTTCTTTAGTTTTATAATTTATTCAGCAAGTATGCTGCACCCCTGTGAGATTATAGCAATTGTGTGGGTTTTTCGCTACACATATGCCGACTCCACCGTACCCAGTGCTTTTGCCAATGCGGTTCCAGCCGGTAAGCGGCTAGAGTCTGTACTGCCGGAAACCGGACGCGTGTTCGGTATTTTATTTGAATTTCGTTAACATGGTCTCACGATAGGAGTAATAGATACGCACTTTAGCTGTATACAGATAGTTACACCTATTTTTTAAATTCATGCTCCTAATCTGGTGTTGGTAATTTTATTTAGCTTTCACCTTAACAGTATGCGTTTTCCCCGCTTACGGTAACTATTGCCGCGATTCGGCATCCTTGATATCGTACGCGTGTTTAGGTTTGGGACATACCACGGGTGCCACAAAACCACAAAACAAGGTCACCTCCGCAAACTTAGATAATTTTGTCGCTGTTGAGTACAAACCATCATCCTCCGATATTAAAGATATCCAACACGTTGCGTTGATCCCAGGAGAGTCGGGCAACGGAACATTACCATTCAACGCATCATGTCCGGCGATGGTTTCCCGTGCGGAGTGGCATGCGCGCGATCCGGTTTACAATAACCAAACCGCGGTCAAAACCTTTCTACAGTACCCATTGCGCTACATGGTGTACACGCAGACGCTAACCGGCACCACGGTGCACGGGACGTGTACTGATCGGGAGTCCTGCAAGAAAACCGTCAAAGCCATACAGGATGATCATATGGGCTTCTCGCCTTCATCCACCACGAAATTCGCCGATATCGCTTACAAGTAATGTCTAGTACCCATCTTGCGGGGAAACAGTAATATGGTGACAGTTTTCCACATAATACAGTTCATGTTGTCATAGATTAACCCGTTTAGGGTAAGAAGGGGGTTCCATTAAAGTTCCATTAGTTCCGGTAGTTCCATTGGTTCCATAAATTCCGCTGCTGCAAATATTCGTACATCGTTCTTTGGCGAGAATAGTGTAACAAGGGTTACGCTAATCGAACCCAAAGAAACTACTGTGGGTTCGATTAGCGCCCTATCTCAGAGCGCCCTCGTTTGGCACCTGTGGAACCTATGGAACTGTATTGGAACTTATTGGAACTGATGGAACTACTGTACATCGTTTAATTGCGCCCTGATGTGACACCTGTGAAACCAATGGAACTCTATTGGAACTTATTGGAACTGATGGAACTACTGTATACCGTTTAATTGCGACATTTTGTGACGCCAGTGGAACCTACGGAACTCTATTGGAACTTACTGGAACTGATGGAACTACTGTACATCGTTTAATTGCGACCTGGTGTGACACCAGTGGAACCTATGGAACTCTATTGGAACTTATTGGAACTGTTGGAACTACTGTACATCGTTTAATTGCTACCTGATGTGACACCAGTTAAGCCTGTGAAACTTTTTTGGAACCCGTTGGAACCGAAGGAAACACTGCAAATATGCCTTCGGGCTCTTATGCTATCTTTACCTGTTGCTGTTGAAACCTGTTGAACTAAAAGTTACTTCAAAAATTGCTGTAGTTAGAAGTATTTTCGAAAATAATGTTAGTGAGGCGTACTATAGCTCACAGAAACTGAGGACATGAGACATCGTTTGCGAATACTGATCGTAATTTTATTACCTCATTAGTAGCAGCAGTGAGCAGTTTAAACTTTGTAGCAGTTTGATGCTTTGAAAAGCTGAAAATACATATTATAAGTAATATCATCATCTGCTGAATGTTCATGAGTCAGAGCGCGTACTGGCTGCAACTTTTCCAGATACAAGTTTCTGCGCTTAACGATCCTGTGTAGAAAGAAGAGTTGACGGTACTTAGTCATTTTGAACATAGCATGCTGGAATGCTCCCAGCCAACGGAATGTCTGCTCACAACTCTGTGTATTAGCACTGAGCAGGTTGGGATAGGCCGCCCGGATTTGGTCTGGATTGTACTTTGTGTGGCATTTATGGCCTTTGTGGTTGCCCAAGTGGAAGCCGTCGATTACTTTCGTCATCCCCTTGGTCCAAAGCTCGTCATATGGCGGTGGTAGCGAAAGTTTTTGAAGCGTGGCTTTCAGTCGCTCCAGATTGCACATGTTATCATATGCCAAAAAAAGTTTTGGCCAGTCGCATGAGGGAACTGTTTGTAAGACCTGATACATCCAAGAAATCAGTATAAGGAATACCTGGGATGGAGACTCAGACCTGTAACAGGAAAGCAATGGTTCGGTACATGTGTCACTAACTGCCGAATCACATATAGGTAAATACGCACTTATATATAGGAGAGAACATGTCGATGTGACCACCCGCTCGCACCACAAATATGTATCCTCGTGACCGAACTGGCTGCATTTTTGGTTCACCTAGGTTTTTTGTGCAAACCAGTTCACTTGCTGAATCATTGTTTTCCGGCATTGAGATTTCGTTCATGATTTCTACTTCCACTGTTTCGCCGGGAAGCGTCACTTCATCAGCGCAAAAGTTTCTCAAAACCCGGTCAGACGCTGCAAGAATAATCGGATAAAAGTACGATTCTTGCACCAATACAGAAAGTTTACCTTGAAGATGAAATGCGCTAGCTGCAGCATGTTGCAGCGTGACCTTTCTTTTGTTTGTTGGAATATTCGCCAGTTGTGCAGCAAGAGAATGTGGCCCGCAATACATTTCGCCACGTTTAGACAACGGTTCTTCTGGACAAATATTTGGAAAGTTTACCAGCTGAACGTTTGCAACGGTATTCTAAAAACTTTTAATAGATAAGGTATTCTCTTTATTAGGTTATTCTACGCTCTGGTGGTCCTGTCATGGTCGCTGTGACTTAATTGTATACATGCTGAGCAACACGATCTTTTGATTCCTGCTAAAATTCAATTGCCTGCTGAACAAAAGCACAGTGCTGGAAGTGAGCTTTCCAGATGCCGTCAACCGAGAACACCACTCCGCAACCTCTGGAAGCGCACGCCGGATGGCAGACATGAGGGTATAGACGCTCGCATCGAAGTTTGTCGAGTTCAGGAAAAGCTTGCTCAACGTCCTTGTCCGAAGAGAACCCGAAATAAAGCAAATTATTCTCCCGAACTTCATTTTCCGTTTCATAGCGGAAAAACGCTTCGGACACGTTCTGTACATCAAATCCTACAAAGTAGATAAAAGTTTTCAAGTGAAAAAAGCCAATGGTTTTGGGAAAATTTTACCGGCAGCTTTTCCGTATGTCTCGAGGTACGTTTCGCAGAACCCGTTGAAAGACGCTTTGCAATGCAATCTTGAAAAGGAAGTTGTAAAACAAAGTTGGCTTTACTTGGCAGTTGTGTAGCAAAGAAGAGAAAAGAGCACTATTTCCCGTGTAATCAGTTAATTTTAGTTTTGTTAAGATAAATGTGATTTATTTATAAGGTATTTAATTAGAGCACTTACACGCTTTCTACTAAGAATTTGCATAACGTTCTAGACCAATAAGTTGTCTGGGTCACGCGCACATGCGTTCGTTCGTGCTCGTAAAAGCGGTATTTGCCATCCTTTTTGGATTGAAACATGTCGTACTTGTATATACTACGGCAGGTTGGACATCTATACGATAGGCGAACGAAAGATCGGCTCATTCCGTTAATGTCGTGCAGTGTGCCCTGAAAAAATGCTTCGGGTACTGTATTTTTGCCGCAATATTCAGTTGTATTTCAAAGCAGTTAATAATAACTAATAAATACCGATTGAAATTGACGTAAAAGTGTGTGTACTCAAGACAGTAGACAGTTCACTGAACAAGAAATATAACTAACGAGTTGTTAGTAACTGTGACTACGTAAAGGTATATATTTACCCAAGCTGGCTTATTATGAAGACCGAGTTCCAAAGGTAGACCTGTTTTAGAGCCCTTCTGGTACACGCAGCCTTCCGTGCAAGTTTTCACTGGAGGAGTAATTACAACGATACTCCTTGGATCCGATGGCGAAATCAAATCAAGGAGAGACGGCGCTTCGTTCATCACGTGGATATACATATCTCTAAGCCGATCAGGTGCCAGCTGTACACGGTGTGCAAGTTCCTACATGCAGTATATCATTTATTACAATGATATTGCAGTAGTTAATTAAAAGCAATAGCTAACTAATATTTCAAAAAATATGTAGATACATCACACATTTTGGCATACTTCCAAAAGAACCGTATCCATAATGTCCAGTGATCGGTTTGCTGTGCAAACGGTGCACAACTTCAGGATTTCGTCCAGTGAATACTTGCTGAGGAATAATCTTAAAGAACCGTTCTGCTCTTCGTATGTCATGATTTTCACTTTATCTACAGAAGCAGTTCATATCTATCAAATGCACTTGTACGTTCTGATTAAACAGTAAATACCATTACTGTCAAAATAATTTTTTTCCATAGCAAAACGTTCGAGACACACTGCATAAATTAAGGTCACGTAATTTTCCTGATTTTACCGATAAAGCTCTTGAGGACTTATTAAACGTCGGGCAGAAACTGTTGAACTGCTCAAGTTATAGTGCTGTATAAGTAGCTGCTCATGTGATACTGCTGTATAAAGAGCACTAAAGGACAGACTATATATTCCAGCAGCGACCTGTGCCACACTGTTGCCCACATAAACAGCCCTATGTGGAGAATTGTGCTCACCTTTTAGTCAGTACTTCACCCAAAAGTCCAATCATCATTGGGGAGGGGAAGGCTGACTGCACTTTCACTGCACAGCGAGCGCCAAACTCATCGACTGGCCATGAAATCACAGCTACAAAGGCAGTATGCACCCATAGATCGTTTATTAGATTAGGTATACGTAATACTATTACTGTAATCAATGCAGTACCAGCTTAGTCAACATATAATTTGTCATTAAAGTGATTAAACGTACTTCTTGTACAAATAACCAGGCTGAAACACAGTAAACTGTATCCAACCCTGAATTTTTTTTGTGGGAACGTGCCAATAAAAATGAGCCGTAAATTGTAATCCTTTGGAAACAGCAAGTTTTTTGACAAACGCATTCTAATTAAATAATTAAGGAAGTTGCTGGCATTTGTAATTTGGCTTTTGCATCCTGTGAACAGGCTTACAGATACTTTCTAATGTCTAACCAATCGGCTTCAGATTCGTTTTGTGTAAGTAGCTTATGCGTGTTTGTGCACAGTCTACTAATAACTGCAGGAATTTAGCCGATTATAGAGTAGCGCTTTATTACAGTTCACGGCAGCTGAATACCGGTTTAAAGAGAAGGATGGTCGTACCTATTATTTTAAAAAGAAGGAAAAACGAGCAGTGGACGACTGGATTATGGCATTTGTGTTAACGCCCATTGCAGAAGTGGAAGGAAAAACAACAGAATCTGGAACGCTGTTTGAACTGCAGGACGACAGCTGCACGAGGTACAGATTTATTTATTATATTATATGCACTATTGTATGGTATCTACGATTCTACGGTAGCTTAAACTCGCCCTATAACTTGCAACTCGGTTTACATACAAGAATAGCGCAGCTCGTACCGTAACCCTCAGACTTTTAAAACTGATACTGTAACGATAACGGCGGCGAACCTAAATGGCCTTTTATAAGCTTTAGACGATCAGGTACTTATATTTTGTGTATATCGGCCAATTCTGGTTTGCAAGAAGGTTTACATTCGTAGCAAGTCGTGCAACAATTTTAAAGATTTCTCCTCGGATCTGCATATCAAAGGCGGCTCGTCCGCGTTTTCCAACATGAGCAACAAGGTTCTCGCCAAGTTAGGGGAGTGGTATCACCAACGGTATATTGAGTACGTAAAATATATTGAAAAACTACATAAGAAAGCTGTATATAAAAAAACACAACAGAAAGTATACTAATAATAATGGATCAAGTGCTTTTGTGATGTTATTATGTAGCTACACAGAAGTACTAGTATACATGTAAGGACTGGACGCAATGAAGCACCCAATTGTGAGGACGCAACGCACATGTATGCATGTTTTTTCATTTCTTACAGGAAATGCGAAGACAAAGAAATTCCGCTAAAGCGGCAAGCGGTTTCGCACCTGGGACTGCAAGAAGACGGTGTTACTTTCGTTTTTGGTCCGGACATAATTTTCGTCCCTTTTGAGGGTGGAATGGTGTTAGCCGACACCGATAAATGTGCATATGTGTGGACACCTTTGTCATCCGTTTTAATTCCCCGCACTGTCGAGGTCTATCAAGGAAAAAAGAAGGCCAGACTGTTTGCCATTATAAGACAACATTTGCCATTAGATGTCTACTACACCTTCGTACTAATGTGTGGTGAGTGAAATATTTATCACTGTTATAAAAAGATATTATTGTAACCATATCAACTGATATCGCGTCCACCAGAATTTACTTTAATCATTTGTATTGGTTGTCTAAAAAACAGAAATACTTTTAAATTGAATTTGTATAAGTTTGAATATTGGAAATAATTTTTAGCACATTCTTGGATCAGCATGTTTTACGGAGTCCTGATCAGGCACTTCAAAGGTTTGCCAAGCTTGATCGTAGTCGGACTCCCAGACACGTGGAAAACGCTCCTTCTGAATCTGAGCGTGTCAATTTTCGGGACAAATATGGAAGACATTTGCAATTTAGGAGAAATAACTGATTCCGCAGGCCTTGATCGCTGGACAAAATTGCACGTTCCTTTAATAATCCACGATAATCCATTTCCTAAGCTAATGCCACGTATATTTGGATGCGTGTACGAAAGAAAACTATATCTAAACTATCGCAACAAAAACAGCGGTGGTGTGCATCCTACTTCGTCTTGTGCGCTTACCATGAATTCCGATGGCCTGGATGATATCGCTGCCGCAACTAAAGACAAGTCAGTCTCAATAAATTTCGCTCTTTAAGCTCTGTAATCTATTTGATTGTGCCATCACGCACGAAAACCTGAGATTTTTACAGAATGCGGACATTGAGTCGGGTAGCTATTTTGACCATGGATAACGAGATAACCGACATCGATAACACTGTTTTCACACTTCTGGAGCAAGCGCAGCAACGTGCATCCAAAGATGTTCGGAAACTGCTTCATTTTGGCGAAGAAGGATGCCGTGAACTGACTAATGCGGTTAATGACAAATACGAAATCATCAAACCAAAACTATTATCAGCGGGGATGGTTAGCTGCACTCACCGAATTGCAACCTTATACTCTATACTGTCGTCTGTTGGGGATATGGTACTATACAACGTTATTTCCATAGCGCTAGATGACTCTGCATCCATTATGTTTTTCCTAAATATTTCTGCAGATTGCCCGTAAAGTTGCTTGCGAGTACGACCAAGAAGAAGCTCTCCAGTGCCTGCTACGGCATATTTCAAAAGCCGCGCCATATCAAACTTTACCGCGCAATGGTTTGACCGCGCGTACAACGCTATCTTTACTTCCCGACCGAAGCAACTGCTTGGCCAAAGAAAGTTTTGCTCAACTGATAGAAGCACTACGCAAGACAACTCATGCCGAAAAGGTAAGTTGCTCAACGATGTATTTCGTCAAGTAAACTGCTCACAGAACATGTGACACAAATTATCGAAACTGACACCAGGCTAAAAAATCTTATCTAAATACTACAAATGTGATTTAGTCTGTACGGTAAAGTAGTGTACTTACGCTTTGCACTTTGTTATATTTAGATGGCAATGCCTAATAAAACGCCCTTTATGTACTACAGTACAACAAAATTAATTATCTAGTTCTCGAATTCATTATACAAATTTGACGATATATTCTTTCAGATGAATACGTTTTTTAAGAACGTTCTCTCGGTGAAGTTTGAAGATATTGCGGAAGACGTGCTTTGTTTGGCTGTTCGGAAGGACTTGTTCCTTGATGCAACAAAAGAGGACCCGTTGCAACAAAATCGCTGGTGCATTGACCAGATTGCTTGGGCAGACAAGCAGCACCAAGTGAATCTGAAGGGTGTGCGGAGGCGTTGCTTAATTTTGCCACGCGAGCACTTTACTTCAGAGCAACTTGCAAAGATTGATGGTATCGTCGGTGCTTTGCAAGTTTCCTTAGACGAAGCGCCCGAGGTGAGCTTGGCCGGTAATCCTGCTGCTGCAACATGTAAAGCGAGGCCACATTTGGATGGTAAGACCGGTGTACACTTAGGCCTTGTCCTGAATTCGAAGCGAATCTCGTTGCGATACAGCAGCTCCACCTTGGTGTTGAGTCTGCAGCGAATTTATCGCCTAAAGTTAGTATGAACACCCAATCCACTGGAGGCTGTCTTGGCCGTCAACCGTAATTGGCTGCACTAATCAACAGCTCCGTAATATGCCAGCTGCAGTATATTACATGACGCTACCTGGCTACCATCATACCTCGGTTGGCGGTTGCGCATGCTAGGAAAGGCAACCATCCACGGTTGACGGCTTAATAAGACTCCAGTGGATTGGGAGATCAGTCTAACTTTAAGCGATAAATTCGTTGCCGACTCAACACCAATCCTCCTTGTACTTTTAATTGTGGATTTAGCTTCGCAAACGTCCAGCGGCATGGGAAAGCGCAAAAGCAGCGCCATGGAAGCTACTGAATCTGGAACGCAAAATGCTAACATGGATCAGTCACTTCCAGCTAACGACAGTGACTTCTCACCACTATCTAGCAGCACTCCAAAGAAAATGACTGTAAAAGGTAGAGTTTAACTAGAAACTATAAATCGAGCTTGTATTTAAGTTTCTTCGAAATTTTTTAATGTTACGTTACGCTGCAGATAGAGGCCACACAGGAAACAAAATTCGATCATTTTCCGCTTCCGTTGTTTCTGAAGGTGAATCGTAATGACTTGCTAGTGAAGCAAACTGTACAGAACTATAAACCTTCGACCTGAAACTCACGGAAGTTTAATGCAGATGATCACGAAGCTACAAAACGTGCCATTCATCATCGTTTCGGAAAACTCAGCCAAGACGACACCAATGTAAGCGAATCCAACAAGATCATAAAATGCGGGAAGTGTCATGCGGCTCTTATTCCGGACAACAAAGATAAACCGTGGTTGCGCTGCACAGTCTGCCAACATGCGTTCCATCATATGTGCGCATCGTATGTGTCACCTCGTGTTACCCGATCAGGAAAACCACCACCAAAACAGAAACCTTGGAAATGTCCGTACTGTTCTAAGCGATAAAAACTAATTACTAATAATTATCGATTAATTATCGATTAATTATGAAATATCGATTTTTGCAGTTAGCTCTTCATATGCTTAGCTAAAATGCTCTAAATTATAGATTTGATTTTCTGCAGTGCTTCTGTATTTTCCCATTTTACCGATTTAATTAGGCATAAAACGTCGTAAAACCTTTCCTAATGATATCAGCTTGAGCATCACCGGTATTTTCTAGTAGCGTTAGCTACTAAAATATTAGAAACATAATTAGAAACCTAGTAAATACTGATATTATTTTCAATGAGTTCTAACAGCATTCGATGCTTCCCCTTGGTATCACAAAAGGGCGCAGTGCTGTTAGTTTCAGAAATTTTAACAGTTCCAACGGGTTCCATAGGTTCCAGTGATGTTAAATCAGGTCGGAATTAAACGATGTACAGTAGTTCCAACAGTTCCAATAAGTTCCAATAGAGTTCCATAGGTTCCACTGGTGTCACATTAGGTCGCAATTAAACGATGTACAGTAGTTCCATCAGTTCCAATTAGTTCCAATAGAGTTCCATTGGTTTCACAGGTGTCACATCAGGGCGCAATTAAACGATGTACAGTAGTTCCATCAGTTCCAATAAGTTCCAATAGAGTTCCATAGGTTCCACTGGTGTCACACCAGGTCGCAATTGAACGGTGTAAAGTAGTTCCAACAGTTCCAATAAGTTCCAATAGAGTTCCATAGGTTCCACTGGTGTCACACCAGGGCGCAATTGAACAATGTACAGTAGTTCCAACAGTTCCAATAAGTTCCAATAGAGTTCCATAGGTTCCACTGGTTTCACACCAGATCGCAATTGAACGGTGTAAAAGTAGTTCCAACAGTTCCAATAAGTTCCAATAGAGTTCCATAGGTTCCACTGGTGTCACACCAGGTCGCAACTGAACGGTGTAAAAGTAGTTCCAACAGTTCCAATAAGTTCCAATAGAGTTCCATAGGTTCCACTGGTTTCACACCAGATCGCAATTGAACGGTGTAAAAGTAGTTCCAACAGTTCCAATAAGTTCCAATAGAGTTCCATAGGTTCCACTGGTGTCACACCAGGTCGCAATTGAACGGTGTAAAAGTAGTTCCAACAGTTCCAATAAGTTCCAATAGAGTTCCATAGGTTCCACTGGTGTCACGTTAGTTCGCAATTAAACGATGTACAGTAGTTCCAACAGTTCCAATAAGTTCCAATAGAGTTCCATATGGTCCATTGGTATCACAGGCTGTTGCAGCGTCTAAATATTCGAAATCTTTGTTTTCGCTTTTAAGGGAAGGTACAGGGAAGCAATGTCTTAGTTACCCTAAACGGGTTAAACTCTCCATGTTGTCATCTGAATCTGGTAATTTGCTTTATTCGCCAGCCAATTCGATCATAAGTCGATACTTGCATATTTTTGGGCTGTTTTCGCTTTATCAAACAGTAGCTGTACTGTAGCTTTTTGATCGGAATGGACGGAGCGGTGTTTGAGGGTCGAGGATGGCTGCTTAAGGGCGCTTATTACAAACCGCTAAACACACAAGAAATCGGGTTGGCCTTTATTGGGACTTTTCCTGAAGCAGGTATGCGCCGTTGCATGCAGAAAACAGTCTATCCACGTTACTGTGTTCTACGCCCAGCATTTTGAACTGTTCAGAGATATTTGTGTACCTTCTTGCTCAACTATAATACTCCTGCATAACACTTCAGCCTCTGTGGCGAAGAAGCCAGTTTCTGTACAGTATGCGGGGAAACGCAATTGTTCAAAGTGTACGAGGGTGCACTTGTTCACCCAGCTGTCAATCTGTCAAACCCACTGAATAACAATATTTTATTACAGGCACAAGCGTTGCACCAATGTCTTATGAAGCGATCCTAGCAGCGCACCAGCTGTTACGGTGCGCCATTTCCATGGAATATGTCGTCTCTATCAGTTACTCGGTGATTGCAGTACGTCTCAGCCCGACTGCCAGCCAGTACATTGACAATCCCGACACCTTTCCACGCAATCCTCCGTAAAACCTTGCTTGTGGATTACATTGTGGTATAATTGCTCGACTGCAGTCGATGTAGGGTGATTTTCTTTGCAGAACGGCCGGACCCATGCTAACACCAGGAGAGACGGCTGTGGTATCCATTGCCTGCAGTGTCGCATTGGTCTTCGGCATCGTTGTGGCGATTTGCGTTCGCAAGAATGCTCGTGCTTCTACTGAACGGGTAGAAAACCTTTGCAAATACTATGACTTCAGCGTAGCCCGAAGTGTAACTAACTGCCATTACTACCTACCTGAATTGCATTGAACGCAACCCTGAACAGCCAGAGCTAGCAACGCTACTAGGGTGGCGAGCTATGGCTGACTCGATGATAGCCGCACTTTTGCTGTGCCGGGCAACCATCGATCTTTGGACTATTTGCACTTCGTACGTACTACGGTGCTATTTTCATTATCGGTAGAAACGCTTGTACGGTGCCCATCACGACTTCGTAAAGCAAACATTCATTCGCTTGTCGCTGCCCATATTTTCCTCATAAATCCACACGAGCGGTACATAAGCCAATCTTTTCAAACTGCAAAAGTCAATATTGCCACCCTTGAGAAAGCTTGGTCCTTAGCAAAGTACACAAAGGTACAGCGAAGCCAAAAACTAACGGAATGCTGAGGCAGACAGGGTTTTAGCTAAGTGTGGCTAAATCAGATATGATTTACCCCACATAATATATGTATATTGGCAAAAGATAGTGAATAGTGTCACCGTTCAACAGTGTTTCATGCACCCAAATTATTTACTGCTACTAATGCTTTGCCGGCCAGCAATATCAGCACGAACGCTTACCGTTCCGGCACGCGTTCTGTTACCCGTATCTACGCAGCACGTCTAATGTCCTTTTACGATACACTCCAACAACGAATGTTAAGTCGTTTAATATCGTAAAGCGTATTCTGCACCGATCGTAAAGTCAGAATCATTCCATCATTTCCGCCAAAAGCACACTACCACAAAATGGGACCGTCTAGCCACATGCCAATGCATACAGTTCACAGCGTTTCCAAGGACATTCCTCTAAGTTATCACACTTTCCAACATACCACCCAAGACTATCGATACACTTCCCATGAAGAATGAAAGTTAGTTATGCAATAGCATGAACAACAGGTGCACGCGCCGGTCATGCGCATCCACGCATCCACACGCGACTGGCAGCGCGTTATTAGCATTAGCGGTTCCCCTTGGGACGCGTTATGAGCGTTTAGCGGCTAGCATATCCCCCTCCTTAAGACTTTTGGTCCTCCAAAAGGAAGGGAAGGTCAGGCTTCAGGCAGAAATCCCACGACGCGCAGTGACGGGTCCGTTTCCTTCTTCCAGGTCACACTGTCCTTGTTGACGACCACGCTCGAGGCTTCCTCCCGGTTCACAGGGGCGCTTCCGGATCCATGCATCCGAGCACCGCAGCCATCCTCCATGTCCGTCGTCGCTTCTCCCGTCGCTCGCGATCCTCGCTCGGATCTCCGTTTCCGGTTTCCTACTCCCTGCGCCGGGCATCTCCGTAGGCACGCAAACAGTTTGCGGCCATACTTAAAAAACAACACAAGTATACAGGCGGAAATAAGTATACCTGCTATACTTCCACCAATGCTCTCCCACAGTTTCATTCGGTAGAATAGTTCTGGCACTTGCGCGGACTTCGACACACTTTGCACAATCTGTCCAACATCAGCAACACCATGCTGATCCAGTGTGCCGGCAAGTTGACCAAGCAAGCTGAACTGGAATGAGTGGTCCTTCTCCACCACCGCTTGCAGTGCCGATCCCGACAAGTCTGTAGACTCTTTGAAATGTGCCGCCAGGAGCAGGTGATTGACACTACTGACCGGTTTCACCAACACCCATTGTCCGTTTCTTGCTTCGTACGGTTTGCCATTGAAGTTCACAACCGCAGATTTCCAGTAGCACTCAGTGTAACTGGCAAGGGTGTAACCGTCGGTAGCAATTGTGAAGTTTCCGCTCCGAGGCTGTGGTCCACACTTAGAGCCGTTGTGCACTTCGAAATCCATTACTGCTGCACGACACTGGCGTATTATACCAAACGCTCCCATACTCTCCAGTGACTGGCATTTCCGAAGTTGCATTTCGCGCGCCGCTAGGGCACCGGACAACCGCGACAACGCGTAAACATTACTCAGGCGCGCACGGGCCACTTGGCAGTCGAGTGTATTCACCGCGTCGCCCACAGCATTCAGGTATTCAGTCTGCATGTCTTGTTCGAACTGCAGATGCGGCTGCAGGATTTGGTCCAGGTCAAGTGCAGTAAAGTTGTCACCACCAACATCCCGCCTGCCGCGGCGCAGTGGTCTCCTTCTTTTGAATTTGCTGGGCGCCGGTTTCTTTACTCCGTTCAGCTGATCCCGTGCTTGACTGATATTCAGCGGCTTCCTGTCTTCAGTGTACAGTGTAACAAACAAGTCCGGCTGTTGCGTTATAGTAATCAACTGAGAACGTACTGTACCGCACACCGCTGTGACGTTTCCAAGGATGAAATCCAGCTGGTGAACTGAGTCTCGTAATCGTAGTCCGTCCGCTTCGGCGTAGAGGCTTCCCTGCCACTGCGCCATTTTCTTCACTTCACATGGCTTCCTTACTGCTTCCACTTCTCTCCATACGAATGTACGCTGCCCTTGTACTGAGTATCCATCGGAACGTTTATGGCTAATTTCTCCAATCACGCTTACCACCGGGCAACTGTCACAATTCTGTTCTAAGGTAACTTCTTCCATTTCACAGTTTCTGGTTGTGAAATCTTTTATACTGTTCCAGCTTCCTTGACCAGTTGGTGTAGCGGTGTAACTCCATACGCGTCCTGCTTTAACCATAGGTGAGTTACCGCATTTCATAGTCTGCACCATCGTCCAACAGTCTTGTGCGCTGGTGGGCACATGTGCAACGTCACGTGTGGTATCCGTCTGCCACAAAAAACTCTCCGCGATGTGTAGCTGATTGTCCCAC